CTAGCTAAGGGGCCCCCATATATCCTTGGGGGCCCCCGTTGTTGTGCTGCTGCTGTGGGGCCCCACCCATCGTTTGCTGCTGCTGCTAGCAGGAGAGACACGAGGGGTCTCGCTTAATTCTCTCTGCTGCTGCTGCTGCTGCTGTTGCTGTTGCTGCTGCTGTGGCTCAGAGAAGCAGAACGATGGGAGCCGCCTTTGTCCTGCTGTTGCTGCATCTGTTGCTGCTGCAGCAGCTGCTGCTGCTGTTGCTGCTGCTGCTGAGGGGCTGTTAGCAGCAGCAGCAGGTTCATTTATACTTCTTCCCTCCCTTGCTGTCCACATAGAGTCTTCAAATGTATCTCCTGCTGCTGCTGCTGCTGCTGCAGCTGCAGCAGCTGCTGCTGTTGCTGCTGCAGTTGGACCAGCAGGAGAAGCAGGAGGAGCAGCAGGAACAGCAGCAGGCTGGGGGGCCCCCATAGGGGCACTGGGGGCCCCCTTGCCTATTGTATCACTCGTAGGAGGCTGCAACTGCTGCTTAAATGACAACTCGCTTGCTGCTGAGCTGCTAAGAGAGGGGCCCCTAGAGGGGGGCCCCACAAGGGGCCCCTGAGGGGATGGGGGCCCCCCTCCTGTGGGGGAATGGGGTACCCCCGAGGGGCCCCTATGAGAGGAAGAATGTCTCATTGAGGGGGCCCCCGCTGAGGGGCCCCTAAAGGAGGTGGGGGTACCCTGGGGGCCCCCCTCTGGGAGTCCCCCAGTGAGGCTGCTACTGGGGCCCCCATGGAGTAGGTATGATGGGGGCCCCCCTTGGGGCCCACCTTGTGGCCCCCCTTGTGGGGGCCCCGGAAAAAAGGTAGGGGGGCCCCCTGCTGCATCTGCTGCAGGGGAGGGGCCCCATTTGCTGCCATGAGAGGTAGAGGAGACAATAAAAGAATCATCGGAAGGGTAGCGAGGCAGCAGACAGAAAGAGCGGCTGCGGTTGTCTGTATGTAGCTGCTGCTGCAGCAGCTGCTGCTGCTGCTGTTGCTGCTGCTGTTGCTGCTGCTGCTGTTGGTGCTGAAGGTGCTGCTGCTGAAGGTGCTGCTGTTGTAGTTGTTGCTTTTGAAGGTGCTGCTGACGTTGCTGCAGCTGATGTAGATGCTGCAGATGCTGCAGCTGCTGCTGCTGTTGATGCTGCTGCTGCTGCTGCTGCTGCTGCTGCTGCGGCATCTTATTCTTTATAGCAGCAAATAATCTTGATGCAGCACGACTTAAGCGCGAAGCAGACGGAGAGAATTCTGTAGTCTCACTAAATTTCCTTAGATCGTGCTGCTGCTGCTGCTGCTGCTGCTGCTGCTGCTGCAGCTGGTGCAGCAGCAGCTGCTGCTGCTGCACACTTGGGGGTGACGAGAAATCGCTTAAGGCCTCTAAGGAATGAGAGAGACATCGACGCTGCTGCTGCTGCTGCTGCAGCAGCTGCTGCTGCTGGTGGTGTGGTCCCCAGGAATGTCTCCAGGTTCCTGCTGCTCTGTTACTACCATGCTGCAGCTGCTGCAGTTGGTGCTGCTGCTGCTGCTGCTGCTGCTGCTGGTGCTGCAGCTGCTGCAGCGGATCAGCACTCGATCCTCTTCTTAAGACAGAATTCATTCTTGACATTAAAGAAGATTTAAGACTTCTTGCTTTGCTGCTAAAACTCCCAGGCTGCTGCTGCTGCTGCTGCTGCTGTTGCTGCTGTTGCTGCTGCTGCTGCAGTTGCTGCAGCCGCTGCATCTCTGGTGAGGACGATGCCCTACCAAAGCTTCTTCTTTGCCTATCAATTGATCCGTGTAAACGACGCGCCTGCTGCAGCAGCAGCTGCTGCTGCTGCAGATGCTGCTGCTGCTGCAGCAACTGCTGCTGCGGCAGCAGCTGGGCTGTAGGAGGCAATGACTCTAAGGAAACAAACAGGGGGGCCCCCTCTGAATGTCTGGGGGCCCTAAAGGAGCCAGGAGAACTTGTTGTTGCTGGTGCTGCTGCTGGTGCTGCTGTCGGTGCTGTTGGTGCTCCTGCTGCTGGTGCTGCAGATGCTGGTGCTGGTGTTGCTGCTGCTGCAGCTGCTGCTCCTGCTGCTCCTGCAGTGTCACTACTTATTTCGCTGGCACTCCTAGCCACGCTCCATGAGGGGCCCCCCCTGTGTAGCTGACCTGCTGCTGCTGCTGCTGCTGCTGCTGCTGCTTCTGCTGCTGCATCAAAAGAAGAAGCAGAAAGAGAAAACGGTGCAGCAGATTCCTCTGAACACAGCAGCAAACACAGCAGCAACAGCAGCAAGGTTAAGAGCAGAGACCAGCAGCAGCAGCCAGCAGCAGCAAGACAGCAGCAGCAGCAGCAGCAGCAACTGTAACATATATATCTCCTCGGCGCAAACAACTGCAACAGCAGCAGCAACGACAACAACAACAACAAAAGCAGCAGCACGAGCACCACTACCAACAGCAGCAGCAGCAGCAACACGAGCAGCAGCAGCAGCAGCAGCAGCAGCAGCAGCAGGAGAATATACCTTTATTAGGATATATTTTACGAACATAATGAATAGTTTTAATTGTCTCCAAAGAACGACAAAGAGGAATTGCAAAAGGAGACAAAGAAGAAGAAAAATCCGCTGATATCGATAAACACTGCATATACACCCCAAAACCCTAAACCCTAAACCCTAAACCCTAAACCCTAAATTTTTTTTCTCATTTTTTATTTTATACCCTAATAATGTTGAATAAGGCTGCAAATACAATAATTAATTATGATAAGAGAGGGATGGAGACAAAAATAGCCAAACCCTAAACCCTAAACCCTACTAAACCCTAAACCCTACTAAACCCTAAACACTGAACCCTTATCGTACCTTGCTAACATGAGAGGCCGTCAGCATATAGCGGTTTGTTAGAAACCCTTCTGCTTGCGTCCTGCAGAAAACACACCAAACCCTGAGGGTTTAGGGTTTAGGGTTTGAGGTCTAGGGTTTAGGGGTAATTAGGTTAGATTAGGGTTTAGGATACAAGGGTTTAATATAGGGCAAACCCCCTTATATCTGCAGAAGCAACTCGGCTAAACCCTAAACCCTAAACCCTAAACCCTACTTGACGACTTTTTCCTTCTCATAAAAATTGGCAATAGCCTTGGATAGTTTCTCTTCGTTCTGAGGACACACATACAAAACCCTAAACCCTAAACCCTAAACCCTAATCTCTTGTCCCTACCGCAAGCAACAATCAGCCCAGTCTAAAAAACCCTTAGGATTTAGCTATTAGGGTTTAGGGTTTAGGGTTTACGTGTCTCACCCTCTGCACACGAAGCTGCGCCTTCTGCGTCAATTGCGGCTTCTCCTTCAATTCCGTCAATTTCTGCACACCAAACCCTAAACCCTAAACCCTAAACCCTAAACCCTGAAGCTGAATCCTGTATGCATTTAGATAAGGTGCTGCTGCGTTCCCAAACCCTAAACCCTAAACCCTAAACCCTAACGCACTTGTGTATAATGACATGCCTCCCTTGCAGCAGCACTTCTTTGGTTTAGAAGCATCTGAGCAATCAACACAAAACCCTAAACCCTAAACCCTAAACCCTAAACCCTCATAATACAGATATATTGAATCTGTAGAGATATAGGGAGTCGTACCAATAGTTCATTAGGGTTTAGGGTTTATTAGGGTTTATTAGGGTTTAGGGTTTACCTCTGCTCTCCTAATTCTCCTTAACATCTCTGCGCCACCAAAGAGAGCGTTCTCAATGTTAGGACTCTGCAACACAAAAATTAGGGTTTAGGGTTTAGGGTTTAGCAACGTAGTCTGCAGTAACAGGGAACAGCTATTGGCACTGCTTCTGCTGCTGCTGCTGCTGCTTCTGCTGCTGCTGCTGCTGCTGCTGCTGGTCTAACCTACCAAGTCAAGCAGTGTCTTCCTCAAACAGTCCTGAAGCAAATAAACACACAGCAAAACCCTAAACCCTAAACCCTAGCAATTAAACCCTAAACCCTAAACCCTAAACCCTAAACCCTAAACCCTAGCAATAAGCCATAATCCCAAAACGGCGACTTGCTAACCCTCAAGCCTTTGCTCTAAACCCTACAACCAACCCAAAACCCTAAACCCTAAACCCTAAACCCTAAACCCTTACGCAATAATGAGTAAGAGGAAGGAGAGCAGCCTCATAAGGAGTACCACTAAAGAAATTACCAACAAAGAAATTCAATGCTCTATGCATTGCCTCTAAATCTGCACAAAAAAAAAAGAAAAAAAAAAGAATTTATTTTATTTATTTATTTATATTTATATTTATATTTATTTATATAATAAATTATAAAATAAATAAATAAATATATAAGAAGAAAATACCCCAATTATATATATATATATATAT